CGATTTTGTTGATCAACACCATCAACTTCGTCTCTTCATATAAAAAGGTATAAAAATGGGGACAGTGGGAAAATTTTCTTCAATTATCCATTCGAGGAAGTTTGAATACCTGTCCTTGAGAATTAAGTATGTTCTGGAAAATTGTAGATTCATTTTTAAAATTCAGGAAATTTAAAATACTAGTCCTAGGATATGCGAGTACATGCCCTTGTGAATTAAATACCATTCAAGAAAAGTGAAGTACCTATTTGGGTAAAATGCTTTCATGTAATTTAAACCTTTTTGCAAGTGCATTGATTAGCTATAATGTTAATACTTCGGCTTGAAATATACCTTTTGCTCCACTAATGCATTGTCTCACGACATTGACTAGCGAGTCTTTTAAGATAGTTGAGAAAGTTGACATTCTCTCGTGCCCCCTAACGGGTGTTGAGATTGGGAGACCGTCAAAATTTTAGGTGATTTGGATTTGTAAAGAACTTAAAGTTTTGGACTATTTGAACATATAAAATAGTTTAAAATATGGAGCATTTGACTAGAATTTGAGCTGTAATAAAGGTAGAAAAAGCTTAGGCTTTTAGGGCTTGAAAATCTTTGATGTCGGGTTTTAAATTTTGGCTCATTTGGACTTGAAAATATTTAAATGTTGTGGCTTTTCAAACTTAGGCTCACAAGGTTTGAAAATTAACTCAAAATTTAGTTTTTGAAATTTAGGCCCATAGGGTTTAAAAATCAATTCAAATTGAGCTTTTCCAAATTTAAACTTCTACGGATGAAAATTAATTCAAAATTGACTTTTCCAAACTTAACCTTTCAAGAGGTTAAAACATAATTCAAATGTAAAGCTTTTTGAATTTGGAAAAACTCGTCATTGAATTCGCAATATCATGTGCTAGCGAACCAAAAACAGTCTTTTGAAAAAGTCAATGTGTTTCTGCGCACGTCATTAATATAAAATTAACACACAAGGCTTCTAAAATTTTGAATGATTTCATGAGCTTTAAGTTTAGGTTTAGTCTGGAGGCAATATTTTGAGATTCGTGCTAATGTGTAGCGGTTTTTTTAATAATTGTATAAATATTGTCAATTTATGCTAATGCATTCTAATGGGATATATAGAAATTTTGATGCCTTTTAAACTTCCTTTTATATTTTAAGACATTACTAAATTTGATGCATTGCATTAAGATATGGTTGATTATTTTAGAAATTCTGCAATTGTAATGCTTGGATTGTTTAAATGTCTTACTGTACTATTATATGTCTTACATTTGAAATGTGTGTAGGACTTTAAAATTTATAAACTCATACGTGCTCCAACAAATTGAGTAGTGTTTAAATTTCAAAGGTCTGAGAATGCTACGCGGGTTAAGATTAAGTTTTCGCTCAAATAATTCTTTTTCCTTCCATTCAAGGTTCTTTTGAAAAATTTAAAATTATTTTAAAATTAAATAACTTTCATATTTTGAAAGTCTAGTTCAACAAAATTACATTACACACACTCTCAATCAGGAAAAAATATTACATAAGGACTCCGCACATAGAGTTACGTGCAGAGTCCAATGAAATTACGCCGTGAAGGTGATCGGTCTGATAACACAAGGGAATATTCCCCTCGTATTATTCAGTTTTTCTTATGTATTATTCAAGTATTATTGATGTGTTATTGTGTTATTATAATACCAGGAATATTCCCAGAACACAATAACACCTCACAATAACACACATACAATAACACCTGAATAACACACAATAACACCTGAATAACACGAGGGGAATATTCCCTCGTGTTACCTGGCCGATCACCTCCACGGCGTAATTTCATTGGACTCCGTACGTAACTCTATGTGCGGAGTCCTGATGTAATATTTTTTCCTCAATCATGCCTCCCTGCTTAGATGATAGGGTTGTAAGTCTCACATATCTAGCCCAAACCTTCTCTTAAGAATTTAACTTGATGAGTCTACTAAGTTCTAATAATTTTCAAATCACATATGTAAAATTTGCAAGTTCAAATTATATTGTTCTATCATCTTTCTTGTTAGGACTGAAGTCGATAGGACTAAATGCTAAATATATCAAAATTGACAAATTTCAATTGAATCTTCAAATGTAAATGTTTAGAATTTCAAATCCTCGATGATAACCGAGTAGATAGAATACTTCAGTTGAAGGGATCAATTAAAATCAAGATTTTAAAAATAACCAACTAAAATGTTCAAGTAAAATTAATCCTTTAAAAATTGAAAGTAAATCACATCCACCATTCTAAAAAATTTATCAAGGGTGACAAATTTTTGATTGATTTCAACTCACAAAAGAGCTAATGTCATACGACTGTATCATTATATTCACGCTCAAAGTAATTTCACCTCAGTAAGGAAATATCCTAAGTTTTATGTCTACGTGTTTTGGCCCAAATACTCTACAAAATAGTAGTTACAACTAGAGCCTTTTGACCGGGTAGTTGGCACTAAATAACACCATTTCATTACGGTTACAGTCATAGGCCGTATGTTCCTCAACAACTTTATATCATTTGAGTTGTGAATTAGAATGATGCATCTAATTGACATAAAACTTTCCGTTAGCTAAGGTTGACATATTTGTTGCCTAAGACATTTACCCCAGATCTATACGGGTCTCTTGGAAGATGCAAATCATGGTTGCTGACAATAATTTTTCGGTCATGTTGGGTCAACTAACTTTTTTGACTAAGTAGATCAAGGACCACAATGACCCAGAACGACAAGACCATAAGATCTTGATCGAGTTTTTTATCATTTCCCTTACAATCTAATTTAAGGTCAAATTGATAAATTTTACAATTTAAACTAATATTTGTTGCTACTATATGTTAAGTATTTAACTCTAAATGTCTAGCATTAATCGAAAGTACTCTCCTATTATTGAAAGAGGTAATTAACTATAGGGGCTTGCGCCTATTGAAAAACTTGAGCTTTAGATAAAAGTCAATGGAATATGAGGGCAAAATCTCTGAGTAGTGTTTTATCTACTATTCTATCAGTGTTCTGAAAATTTGATGCTCGAAGCTCTCTCAACACAATAGAAATAGATAATCCGGGCGTCAAAATTTTCGGAGCTCACATGAATCTATACTATTTATTCTTATTATTATAGTTTTTCATTATCAAAGATATTTTCATTTATTATATTTTCTTTATTATTTTTTTCTCATGGCTTGTAAGCAAATTTTTACCTATGAAGACAATTCAGTTAAGCTGTAGTCTTGCATAATCTTCTCCCTCTTTTAGCAATATTTGTTTATGTTTATTATTTTTTCTTAAGTTCAGCCTAATATTGTATTTTTTTAACTCAACTCTTTGAAGTACTTTGTTACGTTTAAATCTTTTAGAAAACCTCTATCATATTAGTAGTTGTTGTGATAAGAAGGAATCAATTTCTGAAGATCTCCTTATGAGAATTTAATAAATGATTATTTTTATTAGTGAGCCAACTTATAAGGAAATTTTTAATTAGTTGTATAAATAAAATAAAAAAGATCTAGTAAAATTTGGTTTACAAGGATGTATTGAATTTTCCTTAAAGAAATTACAACCGATACATTCATATTTTACTTTCATCAGTGTTTAGGCTGAACAATGCTGTATAATGTGAGTTCTGGAAAGGCCCACCCAACTCTATTGAATTATTCAAGTGATTCTTCTTAGAATGTATATTGCTTGTTGTGGAAAAAACATCATGCATTTTTTTTGTCCAATTGCAAGAACTTTATGCTTTGATTTGAGATTTTTTAATAAGTGCAAGCTCATGCAGCTAAGTACTCTTTTTTATTATTAAATAGCAGATGCAAATGAAAGCTAGTCTATAGATTTTGCGATGCTTTGTTTTAATACAAAAATTTGAATTGGGAAAATAATTTAACACTATTGGCTTATAGCAAATGATGGGGGAAATGATGACATACTCAATTAAGAGGCCATGGTTTTGTCTTTTAGGATTGTCATGGGTTACTACCTATTTATTCAACGGAATTGTTTGGCCTAAAGTGATAGAAAGATCATCATTAGTAATCTAATTTGCATCACTCAATTAAATCTTATAGATTTAAGAGGCAATTTTAAGCTTATCAAAGTGGGGCAATTTTAAGCTTATCTTAGCTAACAATGGGTTTCATATTCTTTCGAATATGCCTTATTTCTCATAACTCATACCTTTAGCCATCAAAGAACATTCATGCTTAGGCTACAATTGCAATCTAATGTGTCATTACAATCAGGTTAACCACTTGTTCATAGGGCATATGCCACATTTTTAATGGGAATATTTTTTATTTGTTCTTTTAGATAAACTTAATATGATTAATCGAAATTAAAATTTTCATCGTTGGTAAGTTGTTGCTAAGGCTTGATGAATGATTGATATGAGTGCAAAGCAGCATGAATCATTTTTTTTATTCTTATAATTTATTTCTAAGTATTCTTTTTTAGTGTCTCAGATTTTCAATATTTTTTTATTTAAAGTTGGCTTAGGACTACCTGATGATCTTGAATTTGACTATGGTAAGTTATCTCATCCAAAAATAGATCAATGTTCACACATGATTAAATGAATATTTTGGTGACTTATCATATCCAACTGCGACCCCTTGCACACTTTCCTATTAGTTTTGTATGGTGGAAAAAAGTTGTTACTTTGCTCGAATAACTTGTTTGATCATCTTGGTACATTTAGAATTATATTGCCTTAATGATATAATTGTAAACTAGATGATACTTGTTAGAAGATCAGCTAAAATTTTGGACATTGTACATTCATGCCCAGTACCCCTTTGAAATGATTTATTCACAATTTTTCAGTCATTTTGTGTATCATATCAATGAATATATTCATGCTGAAGGATGTTAAATATGCTACTTTTTTTAAGATAATCTAGCCGCTTTCGCTCCGTTATTTTTATGCTCATCATGAATGGTCAAAAAAAATAATAAATCTGTATTTGTGATTTGCTCCCCCAGGTTCTGAAGTTTAATCTCACCGAATCTGGTTTATTCTGCGTGTTACCATGGTTAACCATGGCTGCATTTGCAAACATTGGAGGCTGGATTGCGGATACACTGGTTGCCAAGGGGTTTTCGATAACAACAGTTCGAAAAGTAAGTTTTTCCAGTCTAACCCACACAACTTTTGTTTCTTCAACTCCTCGTTATTTTTGTATCCATTCAATCATATTGATGCATTTTACATGCTGATATATATATATATATATATATATATATATATATTTTT